TTATTTATATATGATAAAATGAAGTCCCAAAGTTTATTTTAGGAAAAAAATTATAAAAGCATTGTTTTTCATATAAAGCAAGAACTGGAAATAAGGCAATGTACCTTAATGGTGCAAAATATAAATAAAACACTGTCAATTTAAACAAGGAGTAGGCTGTGGATTGAAAATAAATAAAGCACAACTCTGGACAAATAAGTTGTAGAAGAAACACAATCAGAATGCTCCTTAGAAGCAAACATGACAAGAATTTGGCTTGCCCATTTCAGGCATGATATCAAGAAAGACCAAAAACTAGAAAAGCACATCTTGTTTGGTCAAGTAGAGGGTCAATGAAAATAAGAGAAACATTCAATGAGATGAATTGGCAATGATGGACTAAAACATAATAATGATTGTTAAGATGGTGCAAAGCCAATACAACATTTTGTTGTACATACTGTTGCTGTCATGGATTGACTTGTGTCCCCAAAAACTATGTGTCAACCTGGCTGGGCTATGATTCTCAGGGGCTTGGCAATTACATAATGATGTAGTTAGGCAGTTTTGGAATGATGTAATTCCCCAGCAAGTGATCTCATGCCATCACCCCATCAGTTGTAAAGGGATTGAGGAGAATGCACCACCCCTAATCAGGTCAAAGCCCTGATCTTCTGTAAGGAAGTTTCCTTGAGATGAGGTCTATATCTCCTTTTATCTTACAAGAGATTGAAAGAGAGAGAAGCCATCAGAAAAAGAGGAATCTCAGGACTACCAGGAAAGAAAAGCCATAAGTGGAGAACGTTCTTTGGACCCAGGTCCCTGTACCGGGGAAGACTGATGCCATGACACATGGAGATCTCCAAGGGCTGCCAAGCCCACAGATATTGAAAGGAAACAGAGACCTTCCCCAAGAACCAACAGCGAGAAACCTTCTCTTGGAACTGGTGCTCTGCATTTGGGCTTCCAGCTTTCTGAACTGTGAGATAATACATTTGTGTTTGTTAACCATCCACTTGTGGTATTTCATTATAGCAGCACTAGATAATTTAAATAGTAACCTGCATTAGACCCTACTCAAAGATAAGAACAATATGGACAAATATATGGATGGATTCTAAAAGCACAATATCAACTGAAATAAGTAAGACCCTAAACAGAAAACATACTATAAATCTATTTACATGAGTTTGCAAAGTAGGCAAATCTTTATTTTTTAAAATGTATAGGAAACATATGGCATTTCAGTAATGTTTCTAGATAAACACTTATTATTCACGCAAATATATTTTATACACATTTTCATAAAATATTTCAAATATTTGAAATCTTACCATTTCTTCTTCATTATCTATGTAAAGCAGATTAGATGCCATAGAAACACAGGCCTTCTGACTCTCATTCCAGCTTTTTCTTTCATCGCTAATATAATAACAATTGTGGGAATAGGAAAACCAGCCCTCTGGACAAGGACCACAATGATAC